TACAGGGGGACCAAAATCTTCAGCAACTCTGTAATTAAGGGTGTAGTGCTACACAAACAAGGAAGCAACTGGAAATAAATTAGCATGCCATATACTTCATCTAATGAACAGGCTGAAATGCGATCAGTGAGTGGCCCTTTTTGATAGAAAAAAATCAAAGCAGCCAGATGGAAAATTGTCTGTCCAACACTGCCTGCATCCAATCAGATGCAGCCACTGTTCGGGTTGTTTGGCCAAGTGGCACAAGTGTGATGGGCTTCATGTTCGAGTTGAACGTAAGTTTGACTTGAACATGGGCCTTTTTTGTGTTCGATGAACACACAAATGGTATGAGTGTTCACTGGGCTATTCGCCCGCTGTGCCCCACAATGCACTATGCCCTGACAGTGCATCATGATTGGCAAAAGCAAATGCAATGCTTTAGAAAGTCACAGCATATGATGAAGTTCCCCCGCCCTCTTGTGACATCATCACAGTTTTTAAGAACTGTCATCCCGGCGCAGCTGTCAGGCGGCGGGAGTCAGCATTGAGAGCGGAGCATTTTTTCTTTTTTTCTTGTTCGGGTCGGCGGTGTCAGCGGTCATCATGATTGACGTTGGATCTACTTCGGTGGACTTTTTTATTTTTGTTTTTAATAAAGGGCTTGTCAAAGATTGTCTCCTGTCATTTTTTTACTACACTTTTTTTTTCTGTGAATGGGTAGCGATACCACGTAATGCATACTCATTCACATGGGGGGGCAGGATCTGGGTGCCACCTTGTTAAAGGGGGCTTCTAGATTCTGATAAGCCCCGGCCCACAGACCCCCTTAACCACTAGCTAGGGTTGTGGAGAAGAAGTCCTTATTCCTATCAACATTTGGACTAGGTGCTTTAGGGGGGCCTTGAGGGCATGTCATCTGGTATGGTTCAGGAGGGGGGGCTCTCGCTTGCCCCCCCCTTTCCTGACCTGCCAGGCTGCATGCTCGGATAAGGGTCTGGATTTTGCTGGGGACCCCCACACCATTTTTGTTAAATTTTGGCATGGGGTTCCCCTCAAAATCCATACCAGACCTAAAGGGCTTGGTATGGATGGGAGGGGGGACCCCACACCGTGTTTTAAAAAATGTTTTAATTGTCAGGCAATGACGACATATCTTTTGACATTCAGATGACAACTGAAACGTTAAAGAATGCTTCATTACTAAAATACAGCAGAACCTAATAATCTAATTCATGAAGTATTTTATTAGCTGAGTAAGATACTGCTCAGTAAATTGTCCCAATTGTCTCTGTTCGAAGTTTGCGGTCGAACTTTTGGTAGGTTCGAATGTTTGGCTGTGAACCGAACAGGGGGGTGTTCAGCCCATCACTACTGGCCACTGGTGGCACTGGCTGTCAGAGTATTGAAGCCCACAGTGGGATATTCATCAATCAGTGCTGATTAGTGTGAATGGAAGAATTCCTTAGATTTGTTTTGTTGAGCCCACAGGATTAACAAAAAGAAAATCTATGGGTTTATGGCCAGCTAATATAGAGTGGAAGATTGAGTTCCTGTGAGCAATTGTGAGAAAAGTGGGCATAGGATGGGGCAGAACAGAGACCAAGAATGAAGCATGACAGAGAAACAAACTAGAAGGAGAAGACATGGAGAACAAAGTGAGATATCAGGAAGAGTGTGAACTAGAAGGATAATAGAATGTAGGGGGGGCTCCACATCGGTTGGCTATTGGTGCCCTATGGACCTTGGACTCACTCCACTTCTTCTTGCATAGGAAAGCCACCCACCTGTTTTAGAGAAACTCATAATCATATTGTGTCATCTTCTCCTGCCCTAAAGCCTGCTTACACAAATATTCCCATCCTGAGGCCTGTACCTGGATTAAAGGCCAGTCCAGCTGCATGTTAACTGCTTTACTCCAGCTCATTTCTTGGCTTTCAGGTACATTGCAGCACATTGACAGTTTAGACTCAGAGATAACATCTCACAGTGCAGAACACTTTTGACCTCCTCATATAATTTGGTCACACAAGTGCAGAACACTTCAAAGTCTCCCAGAACAATAAGGCCATCTTCCACAGATGATACAGTACCTTCATCCATAAATGTAACTCACTCAGAGTGTTCCTTCCTTCACACAATGAGATCCACCATAGGCTCAGGGTCCACACTAACCTAAGTCACAGACCTGCAGTTGGAGGTCAGGGGTGGCAAAGTCTTACTGTCTGCTCCTGTGTCCCCTCTCCATACCCTGGCAGTTCAGCTCTGCAAAAAGGCTCTCTAATGCAGCTCCAGCACAGCACTACATCTCCGCAGGTCAGGGGTGTCCTGTTCCCATAAACCAAGTGCTCTGGGCTACACCACAGCTGGCATACAAAGAGGCACTATCTCCATGTACATCAGTACAGGAGGGGCAACAATGAAAGGGGCACTAACCCCTGCCAACAAGGATAAATAAGTGAAAAATACACTACTCAAAATAATTAAATTAAAGGAACACTTTGAAAACACATCAGATCTCAATGGAGAAAAATATCATGCTGGATATCTATGCTGATATGAACTAGGTAATGTGTTAGGAACGTAAGGCTGCCCCATTGTTTGATGGAAATGAAAATTAATAAACCTACAGAGGACTGAATTCAAAGCCACCCCAAAAATCAAAGCGAAAAAATGATGCAGCAGGCTAGTACATTTTGCTGAAATTTCATTGCAGCAACTCAAAATGTTACTCAGTAGTTTGTATGGCCCCCACGTGCTGGTATAGCCTGACAATGTCGGGGCATGCTCCTAATGAGACAACAGATGGTGTCCTGGGGTATTACCTCCAAGATCTGGACCAGGGCATCACTGAGTGTCTGGACAGTCTGAGGATCAACCTGGCATCGTTGGGTGGATCAAAACATGATATCCCAGAGGTGTTCTATTGGATTTAGGTCAGACGAGTCCACAGCTTCTACAGATCCTTTCATGTCTGTCACATGTGCTCAGGGTGAACATGCTCTCACCTGTGAAAAGCACAAGGCACCAATGGCACACCTGCCAATTCTGGTGTTCAGTGGCAAATGTCAATCGAGTTCTATGGTACCGGGCAGTGAGTACAGGGCCCGCTAGAGGATGTTGGGCCCTCAAGCCACTCTCATGAAGTCTGTTTCTGATTGTTTGGTCAGAGACATTCACACCAGTGGCCTGCTGGAGGTCATTTTGTAGGGCTCTGGCAGTGCTCATCCTGTTCCTCCTTGCACAAAGGAGCAGATACCTGTCCTGCTGATGGGTTAAGGCCCTGTCCAGCTCTCCTAGAGTAACTGTCTGTCTCCTGTAATCTCCTCCATGCTCGAGACTGTGGTGAGAGACACAGCAAACCTTCTGGCAATGTCATGTATTGATGTACCATCCTGGAGGAGTTGGACTGCCTGTGCAACCTCTGTAGGGTCCAGGTATCGCCTCATGCTACCAGTAGTGACACTCACCCTAGCTAAATGCAAAACTAGTGAAAAACAATCAGAAATGATGAGTAGGGAAAAAATGGCAGTGGCCTCCACCTATAAAACCATTCCTGTTTTGGGGGATGTCTCAAAGCAGCTGAAACTGATTAATAACCCCCTCTGCTACTTAATTGACCAGATCAATATCCCAGGAGTTTAATTGACTTGATGCTATACTCTGATTAAAAAGTGTTCCTTTAATTATTTTGAGTAGTGTATAAGTGACAGATCCTTAAAGTGGTTGTAAACTGTTTCATATACCCAGTGAAGTGACTGGCCTCAGATGATACACAGAGATTAAACAAATTCTCCTACATGAGTTGCACCTGTTTATCTGCAGTCTTCTCATCTCTATATCCATCTAAACAGCTGAATTTTAAAGCTTGTCTGGGGGTTAGAAAAAAGGGAGTGGAGAGCTGAACTTACACACTGCAGAGCTCAGTGAGGAGATCTCTGAGAGCTGAATGAAAGGAAGAGACACACTCCTATCCACACAGCTCCCAGGAACAGAGCTGAAGCTGTCAATCTGCTGGAGATCCCTCCCAGCCACTATTTTTCTCTTGGTGTCAGGAAAATTGGTCAGAAGTGACTCATGCAGATAGCAGAGAAATGAAGCAGCAGACAGAAATGACACTTACTACTCTTAATTGAGACAATTACACACTATAGAGGGATATGCATTGTTCATATTTCATGTGTGCTGTGTACAGCCACTTTAAAATGCATAGCTTGGTTGGTGACACCATTAAAACCTGGTTCATCTTTATGGCTTCCCATGACACATCACAGCCACTGACTGGTTCACTGGACAATCAATGAGCATTAATACACTGTTTATTCATCGTCCATTAAATAACATGGAAAGCTGTAAAACTGATACACTAAAAGGTGTACAACTACTTTGATACATTTTTCTTTCATAGTCTACTCCTGTTTTTTTGTGATATGTCTGACTAAAAGTTAGTAACGAAGCCATAATTTTCTTTTTTAGATAGAAAAACAAAGCTCTGACTGCCATACACAACACCTTCACTTTTCCTTTTCTCCAGTTCTGATACACGAGTCCCACTGTGTTAATAAGCTTTGCAGCTGTTAGCTAAACGTGAACCAGGAATTTACAAAATGTCATTTACCTTTGAAGATGTCTCAAACAACAAAACAAATTCAAGAGAGTAAAAGCCTCTTGTAGCTAGAAAACACACAGGCATTGGTTCACCAAAGACAAGTAAACTGAGCAATATTCTGTGGGTTGTGATGACCGTTAAAGGGCTTAAAATTTTACTAAACCTACAACAGTAAAATCAATCTGTATATGCAGTAAAGCATGCTTGATATACTCACTGTGGAACATGATATGTCTTTTCAGAAGATAAGAGGGGGCACTGGAAGAAGGAGAGGATCAGAGAAGTCAGGATCAAACAGCGTTTTTTGCATTGTGTAAAAACGCTGTTTGATCCTGACTTCTCTGATCCTCTCCTTCTTCCAGTGCCCCCTCTTATCTTCTGAAAAGACATATCATGTGGAGACACTCTGTACATGCTCAGTTTGGTGTGTATTGCTAGAGAGGTTTTTTTTTCTTGGGAGAGTTCACGTGATCAGCACAGGGCCAATCAGCACTCTCCAGACAGAGGTCAGGGGTTCTGCATCCTACTAGAGCAAAATTAAAACTCCTCCTGCAAGCTTTAACCAGTGCTCTGCTGAACACTGATAGAAGTCACAAGACTTACTCTTTAACTGCTGATGAGAAAAGGTATTTAGCATTTTCATGTACTGTAGTGTGTACTGTGGGAGACCAGATAGAGTGAATGCAGGGTCCTGAGTTAAGTAACACTTTAAAATAAACACTATGCACTAGAATGTAAGGAGCTGTCTAGTGCTGATCCTGTGTTACTACAAAGTGAACAGTCGATGATTGTTTGCATTGTATTAGAAAGTGCTAGCAGGGAGAGAGAAATACACACCAGGCAGTTGGTTCTCCATCTAAAACAAGTGCACAAGGCACTTTAAATGGAGGTACATCTATTTGAGGAGTTTTTGTAATATATCACAAACAACCAAAGATTTCCCAGAACACCTACTAGCAAAAAAAAACTAATTGACCCTTACAATTCATGTTAAAAACAGAGGGTTCAGGGGCGGACTGACAACTCATGGGGCCCCCGGGCAATAGGGGATCATGGGGCGCATGTGTCCTTGCCCAAACTCAAAAAAGCCTATGAAAAATGTACCAGGGGCATCTCATGGGCCCCCCTACTGACCCCTGGCCCTCGGGCAGTGCCCGAGTTTCCAAATGGTCAATCCGCCCCTGAAAGGGTTGTATCCGCATACATTTGTAAATAAATGTGTAAGCAACAGTGCCTACATCAAGGCTCCTCTGTACATTACAGTCTTAACTTATCATTTTCAGGATCCCCAAGTTGGAACACATATAGAAATTAATAAGGGCAGGTTTGCCTGCAGGGAGCCCATCCCTTCTTAATGTGGTAGTAAATTTGTATTAAAAAACAAAAACAAAATAAAAACAGCTTTCTCCCTGCAAGGTAAAGGTATAATGTACTAGTATGCATCGTGTACTAACACATTATGAAAGACTTATCTTGAAATGAAGTCCTCCAGCGGTGAGCTGTCACCGCTGCAGAGGCTTCTATCTTCACCTGGTCTTCCTTCTGGATTTGTGGGCTGTGGGTTTTTGAGTGGCTGAGCTCTAATAACGTCACTCCCATACATATGTGCGGGAGTCGCGGCTACGGCACAGAGCTCTGAAGGAATGGCATGGGTATCTCCTAAACGGTGCAAGGTTGGAAGATATTTATTTAACCTACAGGTAAGTTGCATTATATGCTTACCTGTAGGTAAACATCAAAATCCAAGGTTTACTACCACTTCAAAGGCACAGGGGCGCACAAGATGCCCAGCAGGCAAACCTGCCCTTAATCTATCCACTTCTACTTGTGCTCCAACTTGGAGACTCTGAAATTATAGAGTAAGGACTAAGGACTGTAGTACACAGAGGAGCCTTGACACTCTGGCTTATGCATATATTTGCAAATGTGTGCAAACAAAACCCTCTGTTTTCAACATGACTTGTTAGACAGGGTCAATTTAGTTATTTTTTCAGGCTGGCTGGTAAGTGTGCTGGGAAATCTTTGTTTGTGATGTACGTTGCCCTTCCAAGTTCACTTTACTGCAAAGCCTAGTTATAGGTTGGAGTGGTTCCCACTTTTTTATGCAGAAATTGTACCATAACCTTTAAGTGTGCCTACACTGACTTGTGACACTGTAATCCAGCAGCAGAATGTAAATGTAGGCACCCAGAGATACCTGTTTATATACAGTATATTTTAACTGCTTCTCTAAAGTGCCCCAGGAACTTCACCTCCTTCTTCCTCGTGTACTTCACTGATGGTCTATCAATATAATGGCCAGCCTCCCTGATGCATTGTAATATGAGATAGATGGGGGTGGTCCCAATACATAACTTCCTAAATTTTATAAGCATTTTCATAGTATAGTGCCGCAGGTTTTGGGGATTTTGGGGTTTTGGGGTGTTTTAGTGCATGCTTTCTCAACATTCTTTCCATGAAGGCATGATAAAAATTATATCTACAGGTTACTGTACATTAGCATTGAAAATCACGTATAATAAAAAAGAATAAGGATATATGACTTGCAGAGCATATCATTTTTATCATTTTTTAACATCTGTCTGCTCTATACTACAAAATTATTAAGTAAAAATCATACAAAAATTAACAATAATGGCATATTACAATAGTGTCACTTTATATTTGCAATCAGTGAAAAAAAGCTCCCTTGCATTGGTGGTCAGTATAGAAGTGTAGTGCCCACTTACACTAGTCATCAATAGCAGAAGGACACCCTTACATTGGTGGTCGGTAGGAGAAGAACCCCATAACATTGTTGGTCAGTGAGAAAAGGACCCCTTACACTGCTGGTCATTGGAAAGAATGCCCCTGGTATTAGTGGTCAGTGGAGAAGTGGGAAAATTGTCTCATGTACTGGTGGTCAGTTACATTGTGATAGTCAATGGAAAGAATGCTACAAATGGGGTCACAGACAGCAAAAATTATCATTGGTGTCAGTGATTAATTACCAGAAAAACAAGTGGTGAACTCCACTGGTCCCATGTTGCACATACTGTATGCAGGTTTTGTCAGGTTGGAATTTTATCCACCACTGCTCAACGTTTTTCCTAGCAATTTTTTGAAGGACCCTAGTTTAGAAAGTCTGCTCAAAGAGATTGTCCAAAGTATATGCTGTGAAGTTCACTATATTACAGATACAGATAAAGATATGTCTGTCTTAACACTGGTAAACAAGTTAATACCAAGTTGAGGTAGAACTTGAGCCAAAACATTTTATTTAGTTTAATGGAATGTACCACCCTACTAGCTAGGTTTCAACAGTTCAGGAAAATGTTGTTTTTTGGCTTTCCTGTAGCAGGGGAGCAGTAATCAATTGCTTTTGGCTGTCCTGGTGCTGCTGGTTCAGTTACTTCCCCCTGCATTCCAATGAGTCCTGCAACCTAGTGAGTGGCAGAGGCAGACCCTGGCCTGAAATGTTCATACAGCCTCAGCCAGTAGAGTGACCAGCAGGGGGCTGAGTGGTGTATAAATGGTCTGAGGCCTAGAACAGCTCATCCTTGTTTCTCTGGGCAGCATTAGTAAATAGGTAGGAAAGTATATCATATTTACTTGTTTTATTCTTTTTTTTTATATTTCGTCAGCTACTTCCTGGTTTCCAGGCCTAGGTAAATTATGGCATTCATCCCAGGAGTCTTCAGGAGGGGAGGGTTCTCAGCTCAGCCATTGCCTGAGCTAAGAGCAGATGGATTCCAGGACATAAATGCTAACTGAATCATCTGCCTTTACTCAAGATGGCCAATTCCAGGGGATGTTTTTCAAAATTATTTCTCAGCAAAATAAAGCAAGGAGACATGAATGGATGGGAGAATTTGCTTTGAATATTAAATTGTTCTTGACCGCACAATAGCCGAAAGACGGCTACAGTGCGGTCTTCTAGTTATGGGAGGGCGTCCATGGACATCCTCCCAAGAATGCGCTCCCCGTGTGCGCACATCCGAGAGTGCCTGTGATTGCTGTGTCCCTTGGACACAGTGCATCACAGATTGAGGTAAAGGGCCAAAGGGCCAATCCCCGTGGCCCTTTACCATGTGATCAGCGTGTCTAATGACATGTGATTACTATATGTAAACACTGCAGGTCATCTGGGGTTGACAGCTCTCCTTCCCTCACACAGAGATGAGTGTGAGGGAAGGAGCCATCTGTGCCATCGCAGTGAGTTTACTGTATTGCTGTCACACAGAGCCCATCACTACTACCTCATCAGTGCTGCCTCATCAGTGCTGTTTATCAGTGCCAAAAAAAATATATATACTTGTGAGCTACTATGGTAAACAATGACTCTGATAATCAATTCATTAAATTTAATAAATAAACACACATGAGGTTTGCTGGCACTCACACCAACTCATTAAATAGTGTTAAGTGACTCAAAATAATTATAACCAATAGTGCCGCGCTCCCAGGTTAAAACTGTGTAAAAAATGCACCTAATAACAACTGGTGGTAATATCTCCAAATCTTAAGATATATATATAAAGAAAATATATACAAAAAATGATAATCAAATTATACAGTATAACAGTGCAATTGCCCAATGTGAAATCAAATTAACTAATATCAATAAACCGCATAACCAAAGTCAATATATTTGTAGAAACTTGGGTCCTCTTTCAGTTCAGAAAAAAACGACTCCAAAATCCAGATGCAGTGTGATATTGTTATGCGCTCACCCTTATGTTTCGCCTAATAATTTTTAGGCAAAACTCGCTTTTTGTCCTCACAGGACAGATGTAACCATAATTCTCCTGCATGCGATATTCTCCAAATACTTTATGGATGGTTGTAATTAGGTAGTAATCCACCTGGGGTCTCTCCAATCAATTGATCCCTGTGTTAAGTAATGGATGGCTGGATATCTCCCTTTTCCCCTCCAGGGGACTTCTCCTTCCTTTAGTAACCTCTCTCCAGTATGTCACAGATGGATAGCATAAAGGAAAAAAGAAACCATAGTGCCTTATCCTTTTTAGATTAAAGATTTATTAATGAACGATATTACACTCACATGTGCAAAATTCAATGTGCTTAAAAGAGTGAAAGCATAGCCTGCTGTGTATGCTATACTCGCTGTTCTGTCCGAGACAACGTCGTGACATCAGAGCCCCACTGAGGACCCTGTTTCTACAAATATATTGACTTTGGTTATGCGGTTTATTGATATTAGTTAATTTGATTTCACATTCGGCAATTGCGCTGTTATATAATTTGATTATCATTTATATATATATATATATATATATCTTAAGTTTTGGAGATATTACCACCAGTTGTTATTAGGTGTATTTTTTTTTTTTACCTGTGAGGAGGAATATCAAATTCGATCTCTGACTGACAAGAGCAGCGGGGAGCTCTCTGTGTCAGATTTTGATTCTGATTACAAGCCAGTGCTAAGTAGTGGAACTGTAAGGGAATCAGAGGAGGAAGAAAGTTTGCCCTACAAATGAAGGCATTCTGGTGAAGAGTAGGCTACCACCAGTAGCGCAGTGGCATCCACTAGTAGCGCAGGGGCATCCACTAGTAGCAAAGTGGCATCCACTAGTAGCACAGGGGCATCCACTAGTAGCGCAGGGGCATCCACTAGTAGTGCAGGGGCATCCACTAGTA